CATATTGAATGATTTTATAGATTCTGAAAGTTTAATCTCGGAAAATTACAAAGCAGAAGTTTGGTGAGTCATTCATAAGATTTAATTGAAAGACTTGGTGATGTAGTTGTATATCTACCTTACTAATTTATAACAGTTGAGAGTTGTTGTAACGATAAAAAGTTCAACAAGATGAAAAATCTCGTTCATGTTAATTTATCGATCTTTATGCTTTTCAAGATAGGCATTGGAAATTGCTTTGAAACTAAATTTACCGTCCAATCTCTTGAATACTAAACCTTCTCTTTTGACATTCTTGTTCAAAGATGGCCCATCAGCCATTGCCAAAATCTGCTCTGCTGTATGATTCAATTCCAAATCATCCAAAATTGGGACATGTTTGACAGTGAATCCGTTATCATTCAATTGCTTCACCAATGATTGTCGTTCAATTGGTGTCAAATACTGAGCCTTATCAATATCATAAATATCAAACAAGTAAAAATCTTGACCTTTCAATTTTTCCAAATTTCCTTGAATTGATTCTCCAATAATTTCACCTTGTAGGGCCAAATTTCTATTTAAAAATTGTAATCCTTCAATCATTTTGTTTCTCCTAACAGCATGCCATTGTGCATTAGTTGCAGTTTCTCTCAATTCCCAATTTCTTCCACATACACCAATATGGTCATCTTTCCTATATACAGTCATTGATGAGCCATCCAATTTCACAGTCACTTCAAATTTTTGACCCTTATTTTCTTCAATTTGTGGAATTAAGTTTTGTACACGTTCCTGATCTGTCTTACTAATAAAAGTTGGAAATTCACCCAAAATTTCACCAGAAAGATTAGTGGAAATTGGTGGTTCCCATTTTGTAATTCCTAGAATTTCTGTAACATCATCACCCACTTGATTGGAAGCCAATTCTGGGAATCTATCCATTGGCAAGAACAACCCTTGGCTCAATTGACCTCTCAACCTAGCAGTACGAAGACGAGTACCTCTTTGACCTTCATAATCAATAACTTGTTTTGAAAGCATTGGATACCTATCATTATCTTCCTTTATGAAACTATCAATTTCAAAATAGACTCCCCTCTCACCTTGTTTAAATTCTCCCTTCTTGATCACACAAGTCCAACCATCAACATGGCAACATTCAATAGCTTCTGCACCTGCAATAGGAGTAATTTCTCCTGCAGTACGAATAGTAGCAAGTTTACGTACACCCATAGTGTTATTATTATTATTTAACAATTATTAAAATAAATAATATTATTGGATAATATTATCTCCGGTCTCTTAGAGTTTTTAAAAGCAAATTGAAAATAAATTCCTTCTTGCTCGAGGTTTTGGATTTTTTTTAAGTTTTTGTGAATTAAAAATAGATTGCAAGTTCTCCTGAAATCAGATTGAATTTGTGTTTCTCCTTGAAATTGCATAGGTTACAATGTTAATGTGAGTTCATCAATATATTCTTTATTCTTTCTTTGATTCATCGAAACGAATTTGTGAAATAGTGCACTCGTAGGTATCCTTATTGATTTGGGATTTTGTTGAGGTTTCATAGGAGAGGAACCAAAAGTTTCTTCCAAAAGTTGTTGTAAGGTTGACGATTCTTGTGAGTGTGGTATCTTCTTTTTGATAGCTAATTTCAAATTCATAAAATAATCTGGATCCAGAAATGTTGGTTGTTGAAACAGTTAGTGATGGATTGAATCTTTCACGTTTCTTGACAGGACTAATAATCTTGACATTCTTTAGTGTGGAAGTGAGATGATTTAAATGTTGATTTGAAAGATCTTCTAATGATTTGAATTGATCATTGGTAATTTGTTCCACAATAATTTGATCAATAGCTGATTTTTTGATATGAACTGGAGAATAGAGATAGCTCAATTCAGAATAGTCTTTTTCCTGATAGACCCAACCAAATGGGTGTCTCAACCACAGAGAATCAGCAATATCACAGTATAGAGAGGTGAATAGAGTGGATTCTTTTGGAGGCATTGATTTGAAAACACATTCTTCCAATGATGACTCATAAGGACTAGCACAATTAGACAAGTAAGAATAGGTCAGTATGGAATTGTGTCCAATTAAAATTGCATACATCTTTCCAGTAACAGCCACCTTTAGCTCCTTTCCCTTATTCTTCAAAGTAATAAATCCTGTAAATCCATTCAACATTTCAAATGACTTGGAATTATTGTTAATTGTCTTCCATGAAGACCCCTTCTTGAACTTTGTCATGGTTGATTCCAAATGAGT